CATCTTCCAGAGGGGCTGCATACAGCTCTTGTTATCAAAGTCATTACTCAATATAGGTAGTCTCTTGCCTCTGTGCTGGGAACCTGGTAGGCTGGATTTGGCTCTGTGGTCTCCAGTTTCTGAAGCTTAGCCTAGGCTAACATTGTCAAATTGGGGTGTCAGTAACTGTCCAAGATTTAATGCAGACATAATCTTTGCCTTTGCAATCTGATGTCCTGTAAGCACAGATGCTGAAGACTAAACCTCAGAACTTTTCCACATAAGAAAGATGTATTCTGCCATCATGCTATGGGAAAAGCAACAAACTTCCTTTCTGTAAAAATGCTGGATAAAGCAGAAGAGGCTAGTTATTCAGCACATAAGCTCCAAACTGTCACAGGAATCTTAAGGGTATCAAATTCCTTCCTAGGCCCATGGTCAAGCTACAAATTTCAAAAGAAAACTGGAACATAAAATTCACTATCTCACATTCCAAATATTCATTCATTCATTCATTAGATTTATGAATCACCCAATCCCTGAGTACACAGAGCTCTGGGCAATTTACATTAGTAAAAATATACATAAATATATCATAATCACTAATTAAAATACAATAAATATAATATTACAAACTTAAAAATTAATCCCCTGATGGCATTAATAGTCTACTAATGACTAATTCTGGACCATGTTGCTGCCTCCCAAGCAAGATAGGGAGGGGGAGTGAGAGAAAGGAGGAAAAAAGGAAGAGGAAGATGCCAACAATGTTAATGCCTGTCGCTGCCCTCAACCAAAAGCCTGTTGGAACATCTCTGCCTTGCGGGCCCTGTGGAATTGCATTAAGTCCCGCAGGGAGGGCGCTGATGTTGTTTGACAGAGAGTTCCACCAAGTTGAAGTCAGAGCTGAGAAGGCCCTGGCCCTGATCAAGGACAGCTGGATATTTTTTTTGGCCAGGGATCACCAGTAAATTGTTTTCAGCTGAGCATAATGCTCTCCAGGGAACATACCAGAAGAGGCAGTCCCAAAGATACGTGGGTCCCAGACTGCTCAAGGCCTTAAAGGTCAGTACCAAAACTTTGAACCTGACTCAGTATTCCACTGGAAGCCCGTGTAGCTGGCACAGCACAGGTTGTATATGTGCCGTTTGTGACATTTCCTTCAGGAATGATGCCACCACATTCTGGATCAGTTGGAGTTTCCGGGTCAGTCTCAAAGGTAGGACAGCGTAAAGCAAATTAGCCTGCAAGTGACCATCACATGGATTACTGCAGCTAGGTTGGGGTGTGACAAGAAAGGAGTCAATTGTGCTTGGTGTAGTGGGGGGGGGGGATGCCGGCTTGGCAATATTCATGATGTGGGCCTCCATAGATAAGGAGGTGTCCAGGACCACACCCAAACTCCTGATGGTTTGCACCAGTGTCAATGGTGCTCCGTTAAGGGTGGGAAGTCTGTGCCCCAATACTAAGCCCCCCCCCCAGCCACAGAACGTCTGCCATTGTTGGGTTCAATCTCAGGCAGTTCTTTTTAAGCCATCCCACCGTGGCCTCCAAGTCTGCAGCCAGATTATGTGGGGCGGTATCTGGGTGGCTGTCCATTAACAGATATAGCTGGGTGTCATCAGCATACTGATGGAACCCCAGCCTGAAATTCCACACCAACTGGGCAAGGGGGCACATATAGATGTTGAATAGCTTTCCCCTTGAGGCACCCCACATATTAAGGGCTGCCTAGTCAACACCCTCTCTCCCGAAACCACACTCTGTCCCCAACCAAGGAGAAATGAAGAAAGCCATTTCAGGGCTACCCCATGGACTCACACGTCGCAAGACAGTGGGTCATAAGATCACACTGCTGCCGTGAGATTGAGTAACAACAGCAATGCAGACCTGCCTCAGTCCAGCTGTCTACAGAGATCGATATCGTCTGTCAGGGTGACCAGCACCATCTCCATCCCATGGCCAAGGCAGAAGCCATACTGGAACGGATCCAGTGTGTATGTAAACCAATGAAATTTAAGTTTCAGAATTCAATTTGAAATGTTGGAAGTAAACATTTTTCCCCCCAAGGAGATTTCAGACTCTGGGTAGCAGCAAGAATAATGGTCTTTGATACACATTTTGATACCAAAGCAGCTTCAGCCAAAATTTTGATCTCAGTTATAAAGCCTTTCATTTCCCAGATTTCAAAGTATAAGACTAAAATTGGGGAGTTCTATATTCGTCGGATATTTTTGGACTTTACAAAGTCCTTCCCTTGCTCAATGTACTAATAATGCAGGGGAATAATCATGAAAAATCTCTCTCTGGCCCTATAAACAGAAAGTCTGGAGGCAAAAAACCTGTGTGACCACACTTTGCACAATTGCCTCGTTACACTGGGGAACAACATGCAGAGAAGGAGGAAGTCCCTTATTAGAGAAAATCCTCAATTTGGGCTCCACTTATAAATCTAAGTGTTGTTTTACCGCCTCCCCATCAAATTCTGTTAACACATGAGTTGAGGGGGGGGAGGAGTACACTTCTAAGGCTCAGTCCTGGAGAAAATGTACATTCTTACCCAATTTTCCATGCTAGATACACACTTCTATTTAATATTCTGTGTGTAATGAATTTCAAGTAATTTATCACATACCACCTTTATCCCAGCATGTCCCTGCATGAGATTTTTGTTACTGTGGATATATTTCTAAAACGTTTTAAACAGCTCTATCTTTCTCTCTTGGAATATCAACCCTGCTTCAGTTTAACCTATGCTTTGTGAGGCTGAGAGAGTGAAACGGGTGCAAGGTCACTCAGTGAGCTTGATAGGTCAGTGTGTGTATGTTAGTGTTGGCAGTTCTGGGTTGGGAAATACCTGGAGATTTGGGGGGTGGGACCTGGGAAGGGTGGGGTTTGGGGAGGGGAGGGACCTCAGTAGGATATAATGCCATACACTCTACCTTCCAAAGCAGCCATTTTCTCCAGGTCAGCTGGAGAGCAATCATAATAACGGGAGACCTCCAGGCACCATCTGGAGGTTGGCAACCTTAGTGTATGTGTGTGAAGGAGACTTGAACCTGGATCTTCACAATCCTAGTCTGATGCTCTTGTCATTACACTACCTTTTGCTCTGTTTACAGACTCCCTTCTAGCTTTCTGAAACAGCTCCATCCTTTCTTAATGTCCATCTCCTACACTTG